GAGAACTAATAAGATGGCTTCCCAATTAAGAGTGTAAAAAATATTAATATTAAGTGTACCAGTATTCCTGTCTGAGAACTAATAAGATGGCTTCCCAATTAAGAGTGTAAAAAATATTAATATTAAGTGTACCAGTATTCCTGTCTGAGAACTAATAAGATGGCTTCCCAATTAAGAGTGTAAAAAATATTAATATTAAGTGTACCAGTATTCCTGTCTGAGAACTAATAAGATGGCTTCCCAATTAAGAGTGTAAAAAATATTAATATTAAGTGTACCAGTATTCCTGTCTGACAACTAATAAGATGGCTTCCTAATAAAGAGTGTAAAAATATTAATATCAAGTGCATCGGTATTATAGCTTTGTCTGGCGACTGATAAGATGGCTTACCAATTAAGAGTATAAAAAATATTAACATTTGAAATTAGAAAAGTTTGAAGAATAAAATATAATGATTATATAACCTTTTTTTCTAAATACATGGAGACTATTTCTGCTTTTCAGTGAGTCATTTGATTATAAAAGTAATACTACTAGGGAAAACAAAACTTTTTAATTCTGTAACATTTTTTTTTCTTTAAACGGAAAAACACAACATTTAACAAATATTTCATTTTCGTCACATAAAAACTTTGAAGTTGTAAAATGTGTCAGTCGGTTCGTTGAGTACAATAAACAAATGTTTGTCAGAGAATTAAACGCTCACCTACGAATGAAAAAACCCAGGGGCGAATTCCAGCAATGGCTGGTTGGCTGGTAGATTTTATACTAATTCCAATCTCAGTGGTGGCGAAAAATATCCTCCGAAGTTGGAAGATCATTAGCAAACCCGCCAACTTCATTTTTTTCTCTGAGGTTGATTTTTTCCCAATAGGTAGTAATATGACAACCAAATCGTAGAATTATTTTTATATTTTGCTAGAGCTTAAACGAAGAGAGCGTAAGTATTAATTTATACTTGATTAACTTTTGAGAATTGGTGGTCAATTCTCAAACTTTAATTATACAATCCACCACTTTAACTATACAATCTTCTGAAACAATTCGGAAGAGTCGACAGCTAGGTCATGGATTAGAATGCTTTTGCTGTTGGACTAACTCTAGGAGGTTTTTCCTCTTACACAACGCTTATAAGGGTTAGTAACATCAAAAATTCCTCCTCGCAGTTAAGCTTACACCAGGTGTTCCCTAATCTTTTCAGTTGGATTCAAAATTACTGGGCTACAGAGTTGAACAATACTAAGCTGATCAACGCTGTTGATAAAATAAAATAGTATATAAAGAAATGAACAATAAATAAAAAAAAAGATGATCGATACTGTATTACGTTTTTCTGTCTTACCTGTGATAAATATTAAACCTGAAGAATTTGTACAATTTGAAAAAGAAAAAACTCCTTCTTATGATTAAAAAGACATTGTAGCCTTATATAATTAAAAACTTAACGGCTTTATTCACAAAATACTAAGATTTAGAAACATGATAACGTTTAAAAAAATCAGTTAAATATTTCAATGTCAAAATCTCATAGTCTAACTTAACTTTGAAAACTATTTATAATTGCAATTTGAATTGGAACTTAAAAGTAAAGCAACTAAATCTTATTTTCTATCAAATAACATGCAATAAAAAAATAAACACGTAAAGTTGACAGGCTGCATCAATTTTCAATGATAAACTACAAAAGAATGGTAACAACTAAAAAAAAATTTAAAAAAAACTTTTTTTTAAATTTCAAACATGCTACGTCACTCTGTTTAATTCATTATTGAAAAGCTTTTTTTAAAAAAACCTGTTAATCAGTACCTATTAATTTTTAATCGCATTGAAAAGAATGCAAATATTTTATCACAAAGACAATCCACACTAATTGCAAGAACATCTCGAAATAAAATCTTACGTTACATTGTCACGCTACACACTCGACTTGGCCGCCTAAGTTGCTCAACTATTATTATTCAAAACTATATCGATTGGCGAGAAATGTTAGAATTCTCTTTCACGCTTTTATGATCAAATCTAAGATGCGATTCGATGTTTAGCCGGAGTCCTTCGCCAAACAGTAGTAAGTGACATTGGGCATTGTTAATTTCTAACTATGCCAATGGCGAACACCAGAGATGGAGAAACGCAAGATTCTGCGCCATCAAATGAGATGCAACAAGGAAACTGACTTAAAGGACAGGGCTTGGTCTATATATGCATATTAATGATTTGCTCTGCAACTGATACTTTTCTTAAAATGAATTGGGCATATGAAAATTATACAGTAGCGGTTCTTCGTCTACAAACATGGCATTAAGAATTTTGTATCTGTGTTACAGTTTAGATTGCAGTAAATGTTAGGGAGTTAATGCCTTTAGAATAATGAAATATATAATTGCACTTAAGTTTAAGTGCATACACTTCTTGTTTCAATGTACACCTTAATTTGAATACTTCACCTTATGCAAATGGTTTTACTATTACTTGAGCTTTACAAGTGGCAATGCTAATATTTCGTGCTTTACAAACGCGAATCCTCTATTTTATAAACTTAATTTTAATACCTAATACAATTGAACATTTACGCTTGTTGCAGTGTAAACTTAAATTTAAATACTCATCACAATTGGGAATTTGTCCGAGGTGCATTGTAAACTTAAATTGTTAATCCACTCTCCAAACAATTGTTACTTTATACCCCCTCTGCACTGAAAATTTAAATGCAACAAACAATTGAAGAAATTTTAAAAAAAAATATTGCTAAGAAAATCGGAGGGGATAGCTTTTAATGCTAAATATCAAGTTAGGGAATTTCACACATTATCAAGAAGATGCATTAAATTCGTTTCACATTTAATGTATCTTAAAGATAACGGAATAATCTACTAGCGGTATACCATTATATAGAAGTTGTTTTCTTTTATATACAATTTCTCGTTTATTTAAATACAGGAAAACATTTTCTCGCCCTGTTAAAATAATGCGTGACAAAATTGAGAAGGTTAAAATGAGTTTAAATATGAAGAAAATAATAATTTCGTAACTTTCCTAACTTTTAATAAAAGATAAGATTTTAGCCTAGAGTTTTATTTTATAATTTCTGTTAAAATGCCGACACAATTATTTAGTTTATGTCTACCAATGTTCCACCCCTTAGCCTTGTAATTTCCCAATCCGCTTGTAACCCAATCCAGAAGACAAGGGAACTCCTGGATCCAGTAATGAGAGAATGTTGACTATTTAGTGAAACTAATCCTCATTTGAGTGAAATGGAGTGGAAAAGCAACAAAAACCTCCCACGGTTAGCCTAACGGCTAGGGGACTCATGATTCGTCTACCACTGAGGAAATTTTACGTCAACACAGTGGTTGATGCGAGCCGAGTGCGGAATCCGTAGGATTCAAACCCGGGCCATAGCTAGGATTCGAACCCGGATCATTTCAATGGGCGGATTGAGCTCTAGCCCATGAGCCACCACGGCTGGACTAGAGGTTCAGTGGTTTTTGTACTTGCTATAAATCAGAAGTTTAACTTTAAAAAATTCCACGGATCATTTAAAATTTTTGCATGCACGTTAANAAGGGTTTATTCGATTAACAAAACAATAATGAAGATAAACAAATTTGTGAAGCGTCCGATTGAAAGATAAATTATTTTGTGAAGGGTCCGTTTTTAAGTTAAAATATTTTGTGAAGGGTCCGTTTTTATGAAAAGATATTTCGTGAAGGGTCCGTTAACGGACCCAAATTTCTTCTAAACAGACCCCTGAATACTCATCACAATTAGGAATTTATCCGTGGTGCATTGTAAACTTAAATTGTTAATTCACTCGCCAAACAATTGTTACTTTATGCCCAATTGTTGCAACAAACAATTTATTGCTAAGAGAATCGGAGGGGATAGCTTTTAATGCTAAATATCAAGATAGGGAGAAAATGGAAATTTTGCACGTTATCTAAAAGATGCATTAAATTTGTTTCACGTTTATTGTATCTTAAAGATAACAGAATAATGTACTATCGATATACCATTATGTAGAAGTTGTTTTCTTTTATATGCAATTTCTCGTTTATTTAAATACAGGATATTATTTTCTCGCTCTGTTAAAATAATGAGTGACAAAAATTACAAAGATTAAAATGAGTTTAAATATGAAGAAAATAATAATTTTAAAACTTCCCAGTTTTTAATAAAAGATAACATTTAAGCCTAGAGTTTTATTTTATAATTGCTGTTGAAAAGTCGACACAATTATTTAGTTTATGTCTACCAATGTTCTACCCCTTAGCCTTGTAATTTCCCAATCCCCTTGTAACCCAATCCAGAAGACAAGGGAACTGCTGGATCAAGTAATGAGAGAATTTTGACTATTTAGTGAAACTAACCCTCATTTGAGTGAAATGGAGTGGGAAAACCACAAAAACCTCCCACGGTTAGCCTAGTGACTAGGGGACTTAAACTCATGATTCGTCTACCACTGAGGAAATTTTACGTCAGCACAGTGGTTCATGCGAGCCGAGTGCGGACTCCGTAGGATTCAAACCCGGGCCATAGCTAGGATTCGAATCCGGATCATTTCAATAGACGGATTGAGCTCTATCCCATGAGCCACCACGGCTGGACTAGAGGTTCAGTGGTTTTTGTATTTGCTATAAATCAGAAGTTGAACTTAAAAAAATTCCACGGATCATTTAAAATGTTTGAATGCATGTTAAAAGCTTTTCAAAACGATATAAATATATGGTTTAGCTAGATGGGTAACAACAGATTGCAGATAAGTATCAGAATAACATTTATTCATTACTGCAGAAATAACAAAATGATAAAAAAAAGATCAATGAATTAAAGGGGAAGACGAAGTACAACTTAACTTGTTTTTGAAATTTGAACTACTCACATATCAAAAATACGTAACAAAAAAATTTAAATTGTGAAGAAAAAAAAATTTTTTTCTCAATAAAAGCAATTTAAATCAAAAAAAAATTAAATATAATTTTATTTTTTGCATGATAACTCAATTGAATAACAGCGGAATAAAAGCGACTTCAACTGCGATGGAAAAATATACAAGTACGTAATTCATAAAATATTTTTATATCTTTTATAACTCTATTCTGTTTATAGCGCGTTATTTCGTTAAAAGTAACTAAAATAATGACAGCAAAGTTATTCAAATGAATTTAAAGAATGAACTATAAAAGTTTAACTTCCACCAATATATATTTTAAAGAGAGCTTCATGAAAGCATCTCATAAAATTTACTGCTTCGAGAAATGCTGAATTGGATTTTACAATTCTCGTAACACTTTTAAGTTTCAATCGAGGCAGTCTTAAGTCCACAGAAATGTAATAAAATTCTTTCCGGTACCCAACCTATTTTAATAACTCTTTGCTTTTTTTCTGTGAATTTTAATTGGATTGTTAAAAGAAAGGAATATAATCATATTTCTCGCAAATGCTCTATAAATTTTTCTCAAAACTTTTCAATACAGGATACTAAAATATTCATTATAATATTCACTCGAGTTTTATAGTATATTTATTAGATTTTTAAAACAACGTATAAAATATCGTTGATTAAAATATTGTAGTAAAATAAATAACTCGTTTTGCAGTTTAAGCAGCTTAATGCTTAACATTTTATTAGGCTAATTTAAGTAGACTATGGAGTTTTTAATAAAATATTAGTATTTTCTAAATAAAATTACTTAAACTTTTTTTTTGTTTGTTGAATTTTTATAATTTTTTAGGAAACTCAGAAACGATAATGGTTAAAAACAGTTGATTTTTTGGCACACTTTTATTTTGAATTATATTCCGTTGCAAGTTCAGACAAGACCATTGCGGTATAGGATTTACATAATCATCAACGACTGCATATTGTTCAGACGCAAATTTAATTCGTGCTATCTTTCACAATATTTATGACAGAATTATTTAAAAAAAGGTTATAGTTTCGAAGTCTTACTGGAATACTTGGCGACATATTTCGCTAAATACATTCGACATTCGAACATTCGTTCTTAAAAAAGAAACAACTATATGACATGGCAAGAGCATTGGATTTCATTGGACCACTAAAGATAGCGAATGCCCTTTACAAATCCAGTGCGAGAAGGAATCTTTACATTTATTTCACTATAGAAGAAAATCGTCTGCAAGAAACAATATTTATTATTCTTCATAAGTTTCTTTAGTTGCCAATCGAAAAACGTATATTTGTTACGGCGTACAGAACGACAAAAATGAACTCTTTTTCAGCATGACATCCTACAAGTCTTATTCTGCAAGTTTTGAAACTTTTTTTAAAAAATTAAAAAAAGGTGACTTACACAATGATAGCTGAAGAGTCTGGTCACATTGTTGGCACTTCGGATAAAAAGCATATGGACGAATATAATCCGAAAGAATGGTTGTAATCTTATGTTCTACATGTCGTGTTTGGTCCTCAGTATGTTCTTTAGCAAGAGATAAGACGCTATAAAATGGCTCAAGCTCTGAAGAGTGAATATTTACAAGTGACAGCTATCACGTACGACTCCGCTTTGTTTTCATCAGAGTTAACTAGAAAAGAAAATTATAACACAATTAAGTAGCAAGGACATTGCTAAAAACCACCAGCATTATAATTCTCAGTTGGTGTGAGAAAGTAAACAATCTGTTACTCATATGGTTAAACTCTTATGGCTAAGTCTGTTACTCATATGGATCAATGAAACAAAAATTGCCTCGAAGGCTCAGTAGAGAGTGATCGATAAGCTATGTATTCTTCCTTTGCTTTTAAAAATAATTTTAACAATCCATTGTACGTAAAAATAAAGTTAAATTACCATATAGTACGTGAAGTAATTCGCATTTAAAAATTGTGATAGTAATAATCGGTACTTAGCTATTCCATGCCAAATAAACAGTTAGCAATTTAAAAATACGCAAGGTTTCTTAAGGAGAAGTTATTTCCAGTTGACAGTTTTGCCAACAGCCAACCGGCCTGTGTAAAAGTCCGGGAACTGGCCTTGCATCAGAAAGGTTCTGGGTTCGAACCCCGTTCAAGGCAAAGATGTTTTTTCTTTCTCTCTACTATCTGTCCTTACTGTGGGAGCAATTTTGGCCCACCTAATATGGTGCCCCTGAAAGAGTGGTCAACAAATCTGCCCTTCAGATGACTGTATAACGAAAGGTCATTCTCCAGGTACCAAATTCATTTTAGATAGTGCATTTTTAAAAAATTTGTTTCGATATTTATTTTTAGTAGGAGATATGACATAGAACAGAATATGAAATATGCTTATTTTATTTCACTTTGCCGACATCTAGACAGTCCAGAAATCAGACTTTTTAGAGCACATGGTTACCAACATTTTAAAATAAATGAATTAGGGATAACGGTAAAAAGAAAAAAAAATGCAAAATTTTTAAAATAAAATATGGATTATTTTATAACACGATTTTAAAATTTAAATTAATAAACTTTTTTTTATCGATGATTAAGAAAATTTCAGCAATGGTTCATTTTTATATGAAATCCTATTTTTCCACTTTGTAAAATGAAAATGAAAATTTGATTAATAATTGTTAACCAAAAATGTATTTTATTTTTAAAATTAATAGCTATAATGGAAATTACAGATGATAATCATGATTTTTGTTTACCGTAAAAATTAATTTTATCATGGAAATCTTCATGTTTTCAACAAAAAATAAAAATATATGTTCATTTTTCAAGAGTTTGGAAGTTAACAATAAATAATCTTCATGCAAAAATTTCAGTTATGTTAATAAATAATAGCAATAAATAAGTTATTTAAAGAAACATTCCATTGAAATTTAATCAAATTAAATAAAGGAATAAATGTCTTAGGTTCATATCTTAGTTTACTGATTTATTTTAATGAAAATAAAATTAGCTGTTAATGTCATGTTTGCTAACTTTACTCTTTCCGAGGATGGTTTTTCCCAAGTGATCTTGAAATGACAATTGGATACTTGCGAAGCAACAAGAAGTTAAATGATNCTAGCAGCGATTTAGGGGGCGGGGCTAATCGAGCGATTTTAACTATTAATAACAAAATAACTAGTTATCGCACCGGTCTGAAATTGGTGTCTATCTTTATAAAATGGCATGATGTTTCATTTTAAAACATAAAAAAAAGGCATGCAGGTTCCTCATTGGCTTGCGGCACCAGCCCTTCCAGAGATACTGCATCGTATCAAGAATACGCAGAAAAAATTTCAAATCTTAGAACAGAATTTGAAACAAGATTTAAAGATTCTAATTCTTTGGAAGACAAATTTTGCTTGTTTTCTTCGATTTTCTCAATAAATATAGACTCAGTACCCAGTTATATGCAAATGGAAGTGATTGAGATTTAGTGCGACTCAAATTTGAACGCAAAATTCATTGAAGTGGATGTGCCTGAATTTAACAAATATTTACCGGCAAGGTTTGAAAATACTCGAAAATTGGCATAAGAAATTATTTCCATGTTTGGAAGTACTTATCAGTGCGAGCAATTATTTTCAGTTATGAGTGGAAATAAATCTCCTGTCCGAAACCGTATTAATAACGCTCACGTTGGGTCAATTTTGAAAGTAGTCTCGGCCAATAAAATTTCTCCCGGAATAGGAAAGATAGTAGCAGAGAAGAGATGTCAAGTATCAAACAATAATTTAATTTTATGTATGTTTATTAAAACGTACTATTCGAAATAAAAATATTTGTTTCTATGAACATTGATTTTTCTTTTTTTTTTGCGGCCCACCTAAAGTTAATCATTGTTTATTTGGCCCAAGTTAGCTTTTGAGTTTGACACCCCTGATCTAGACAGTCCAGAAATCAGACTTTTTTAAAACATATGGTAACCGACATTTTAAAATAAATGAACTAGGGATATTTTTAAAATAACGGAAAAAAGAAAAAAAAATGCAAAATTTTTAAAATCAAATATGGGCTATTTTATAACGTGCATTTAATATTTAAATTTAATATCTTTTTTTACCGATGATTTAAAAAAAATTAGCAACGGTTCATTTTTATATGAAATCCTATTTTTCCACTTTGTAAAATGAAAATCAAAATTTGATTAATAATTGTTAACCAAAAATGTATTTTATTTTTAAAATTAATAACTATAATGGAAATTACAGATGATAATCATGATTTTTGTTTACCGTAAAAATTAATTTTATCATGAAAATCTTCATGTTTTCAACAAAAAATAAAAATATATGTCCATTTTTCAAGAGTTTGGAAGTTAACAATAAATAATCTTCATGCAAAAATTTCAGTTATGTTAATAAATAATAGCAATAAATAAGTTATTTAAAGAAACATTCCATTGAAATTTAATCAAATTAAATAAAGAAATAAATGTCTTAGGTTCATATCTTAGTTTAATGATTTATTTTAATGAAAATAAAATTAGCTGTTAATATAATGTTTGCTAACTTTACTTTTTCCGAGGATGGTTTTTCCCAAGTGATCTTGAAAAGACAATTGGATACTTGCGAAGCAACAAGAAGTTAAATGATTATGTATAGCTTTGTGATTTAAATACGATTTAATTGTATATATAGTATGCGACGTCACGTGTGTGTATCAAATGTAATTGGCTCCTCAATCGACCAATACTGCGATTTTCCTACTATGACGTCACTTGTAGGTATCCAATTTAATGCAAAACTGTTGGCAGAGGTTATCTTTAATTTTGCCAGAACCTATATACACACTGAGAAAAAAACATGGTCAAAACTACAAGAATGTGGTAAAATTTACCGTGTACTGGCTTTTTTGGGAACATCAAAATAGCTCGATAATTTTTACTACAGTGATTTGGTAATTTTATTAAAATTAGCAATAAAAAATTTTATAACCTGTCATAAAATTTAAGTAAAAGTGGCAATTTTATCATGGTATCTTAGAACATGGTATAAAAACATTTATTCGCTTAAATTTACTTTTCAGGTTTATATTTTTTACCATTTTTATAATTTAAAAATCAGAACTTCTGATAACCCGTTACCATATGAATAGAAAAATTATTAAAATAATGGTTTAAATACTGTATATGTTGATAGTATTATCCAATAAAAAAAAATTTTACCAGAAATAACACTACGTTAAGCTAAGATATTTTTTTAAAAAAAATTTTCTCCGTGCTCTATACTGCAAATATCATGAGTTTATATACATTAGAAGTAGCAAATTATTATCCAAGTAAAAATAAGTAAATAAATAAATAAAATAAATAAATATTGTTAGCAAAATCATACGATGCCTCAGTGAAGAAGATAGGATTAAATATTTATAAATCTGTTTAAGTTTAAACAGTGAAATATTGAAAAGTGAATATTGGCTCTAACCATCAAATAGGTTATGTTGTTCTTACACTTACTTTTCTTAAATAGTCAAATTAATTTAATTAATCCAAATTCACTTAATCCAAATTAATTAATTGTCAATTTGTTCATCAGAAATTTTGCCTTCTCTTCGCTTAAATATTAATTTGTGATCGCAAATGTGTAGAATTTCTTAATTATATTTTTGACAAGGATGATTACAAAATATTCAACATGTATTACAATAATAACATAGGACAATTTTTCGAAATAATTTCTTTTTTTGTGTGTATTTTATGTAAAAAGATGAAATATCAAATATCAGAAGAGGCCTACTGTGTCTTACTACCTCATAAGGAAAAGGAAACACTATAATAAATGAACAGAATAAAAGAACAGTCTAATGTTTCAAGTGAAGTTAAATTGAAAATAGTATTTTTGAAATAATAACTTACGAGCAAGTAAGAGTTTTCCAATCGAAATTTTGATGGCATACTTTATCCACCTATAGCTTCGTAGATAAAGAACTTTTTATTCTTCTATTAATGATTTTCCTGAAATTACAAGTTAAACATTACTGTCAAATCACAAATTTCATTTTAGTAAATGCTAAAAAAAAGATTTAGTATACATTGACATAATATAATCATAATCTCAACATATATTATTAATTTCAGAAATTAAAGTCTTATAATACATAGTATATAACAGTAAATTCTGATCTCACTCTTTGTTTGAAAAAAAAAAATACTACCGTTATCACCGTCGTTTAATAAAATATTTGCGCTCATAACTCAAAAACTATTTCATGAAAGATACGTAATTTTGCACATTTTTGAAAAATGTGTGAGGAACATTTCGAAATTAACGCAGAAATTTGTATTTGAGTTTTTCTTTGCAAAAGAGAAGTTTTTCCTCCTTTTCGCTGCGTCGTTCAATTTAGTGAAAATTATTAGTAGACGAATAATGACTTAACGTAGCCATGTACTCTTACGTATAGGCAGGATCAACAAGCACGTCATACTTTCTAATTAGTTTTGGAATAAACAACAATTAAGGGCGAGCATCTGGCTCGTATATATGTTCAAAATATCACCTCCTTTGTAACAACTAGATCTTAATAAATCATGTAATCAAAGGCTGAAGCAGGGGTCTGTCCAGACATTTTGTGAAAGGTCCGTTTTTGTAAAATTGTGAAAAAATTACCCGTAATTTGTGAATATAAAGTAAACGTTAAGTCACATTCTTTCAACCAGGGCCCTGCTTTTGTGAATTTGTGTAAGCAGGGTCCTGTTATTGCAAAAAACTTTTTCAAGGAGTTTTTAAGTTGTAAAGACATAGAAAATTGTGCTCAACACTGTAAAATTATCATAAAAAATTTAATTTAAAGAAATAAACAGCAATTGCTGCTACTAAATTAGAGATGCAACATACAAATATTCGATATTTAACCTATACTGCTGAACGCAGAATATTCATTTCGAACGAATAAAGGAAGAAGCGTCTGCAGAAAACGAAACTTAGTTGGTTTACATTTGTCTTTATTTCTCTCCCCCCCCCCTTCCTGGGAAGTATTTATTCGATTAACAAAACAGTAATGAAGATAGACAAATTTGTGAAGAGTCCGATTAAAAGATAAATAATTTTGTGAAGGGTCCGTTTTTACGAAAAGATATTTTGTGAGGGGTCCATTAACGGACCCAAATTTCTTCTTAACAGATCCCTGGGAAGTAAGGACAACTTTCATTGATGAATTTTATAAAAAATATGTGCCTTGTGAACTTTAATCTTTTTTTTAAAAATATAGTCTGAACAGCCTTTTGCGAAGTGCCTTTACAGCCTTTTGCGAACAGCCTTTTGCGATATTCAATTCCAGAATGTCATGCTTAAATCCTAATCCGTTAACCTATTACTTCTTGAACAAACTTAAATAACTTTTAAATTTTTGCTTCTGGTCAAATATTAGCACTACTATATTATCCCAAAAAATAAAATCCGAAGTAATCCAAATAGAACTCTCTCTTTTTTATTTAATGCTTCCGCAAACTCCTCTCACGTTTTAATAACAACTTAATGAAATACTCCGGGTGCGCGATTTGACAGTTTACTTCGAAGGATACTTTTATTGTTTTCTAAAACCGCCCACAAAGTATTAAAAGATTTTTCGCCAAGATTTTTAGTCCACGATAAACTGATTGAATTGTTGGGGAGAAAACAAAAGCCGTATTGCTTTCTGTTTGAACGGCATGTGTCAAAAACCAGTGTGAGTAAGTTCTCTACCACGATGACAATGACAAGTTCAGGAGCCCCTTATATTGGAATTCTGCTCCAGAAAAACAGGAGGAGGAACGGAGTGTGGTGAAAATGAGCCATCGCTCTTGTATCTCATCAATTTTTTTCTTTCCCTTTTTCATTTGAGCCATGCTACGTACCGGAAATTTCCCGAAATCGAAAACACTATAAGGGAGGGAAAACTTGAAATATTCTAGTTCGAGAATCATGTGCTTTTATTGAATTTTAATGAAATGTTTGGCGTGGAAAGGAATTTTGAGAGAAAGGAAAAAAAATTAAATCTTAGTAAACATTTAATATAGACACGCATAAAAAAAGATAGTTACAAACTTTTAGCACATTTTAAGTCTTTTATTAGCAGTAGAATCGTAGACTCAATTTGTTTTTATCCCCCAATAAATCATGGATATGCTACCAAAGGTTAAAAAAAAATGAGATAATGTTTCTAAGTGATTTAGTTGCCCACTAATTTTTTTGAGAAAAGAAGCCCGTGTCAATATAACTATCATGGTTATATTGCTCAAAAATAATTCATTGTTAATTCACAAAAAGGAAATATAAGTTCAAATGTCTTGGGTGCTTTCTTTCACTAATTATAGATTTGAATGGCTATGGAAGCATTCTTACAAAATGTAACTTCATTTTTATAAAAGTACTCAATAGAATATAAATTTTTATGGTGTTAAGCAAATTATTGACTGGATCTGATAGTTAAATAATGTTACAAACTAGGTATGGCATAAAAGAAAAAGGAAAGGAGGAAAAGGCTGTAGATAAAATACTGATGAAAACTTTAAAAGAAAAAAAAAAGGTGTGAGTCTTTTGACACAAAGAATGTTATTTTCAATCTTCAGGGGTCAGTCCAGACATTTTGTGAAGGGTCCGTTTTTGTAAAATTGTGAAAAAATTACTACTCGTAATTTGTGAATATAAAATAAACGTTAATTCACATTCTTTCAACCAGGATCCGCTTTTGTGAATTTGTGCAAACAGGGTCCGTTATTGCAAAAAAACTTTTTCAAGGAGTTTTTAAATTGTCAAGGCATACAAGATTATGCTCAACACTGTAAAATTATCATTAAAAAAATTAAATTTTAAGAAATAAGCAGCAATTGCAGCTACTAAATTAGCGATGCAACACATAAATATTTGGTATTTAGCCTATACTGCTGAACGCAGAATATTCATTTCGGACGAATAAAGGTAGAAGCGTCTGCTTAAGACAAAATTTAGTTCGTTTACATCTGTCTTTCTTCCGCCCCCCCCATTCCTGGGAAGGGTTTTTTCGATTAACAAAACAATAATGAAGATAAACAAATTTGTGAAAGGTCCGATTAAAAGATAAATTATTTTGTGAAGGGTCCGTTTTTAAGTTAAAATATTTTGTGAAGGGTCCGTTTTTAAGAAAAGATATTTTGTGAAGGGTCCGTTTTTATGGAAATTTTTATGGACCCAAATTTCTTCTAAACAGACCCCTGATCTTTAAACTTTCATTTTATAATACAGAATAAATTATCACAGAGATAGAATATCTAGTGCTGAACTGCATAAAATTAACTTTGCAGATTCTAAGAAAATTGAACCCGTTATTAGCAAATTTGCTATTTCGCAACACACCTACAATTTAACGAAAAATGACCTGTCGTGGTATTAGGCTGCAATAATGAAACTGTTCTCGTAAGAGTATCGAATGCGTTATCGTTCATTTGAAGAAAGAAAGGGAAAATCACGCATTTACTTACTAAAATAATGGGAAACGTATGGAACAGGTTATAAGCCAATAAAAACGTTTATCCCTAGTTCATGAATGCAGCAATGATGCTGAAATGCTTTAAGTAGTTATTCCAAAAAAAGTAAACAAAAAATGGAGCTAAAACGTTTTACTTACACTGTTAGAAATTTCTCAGTAAAAATGATTAAATAGCAATTTTTTTAATTGTCATTTTACCATATTCAACCAAAACAATCAAATTACCATAAAAACGATTATATTCAAACTATTAAGTCTGAGAAAAAACGTTTATTGGTTGTTTTTACCAAAGACGGTTAAACTACTAACTTAGTCTGGACAAAAGAACACGAAAATTTTTCCAGAGGAAACAGAATTTCAAAACTACCATGCGTAAAATTAGATAGAAGGTCTGGTGCTAATGTAAGAAAACATAAAATAATTAAGGTATTTGGGTATCCTGCTTGATCAAAGTTTGATGTTTATTCTACATCTCGAAGAAATTCGGAAAAAGATCGCTTAACTCCAGAACAATCTAAAAAATATTATACGGTGCCAAATTTTTCAAAAAAATAGGTACCTTTTAAGCACTTTTTAAACACTCAAAAATATTTTTAAGCACTTTAAAAAATATCATAACTAGGATATATACACTAGTAAAAATGTTTTCTTCCAAATGTTGAAAGTTCTTCAGATATATTTTGAATGAATGAAGTTTTTTTAAACGTATAAAACATGTTATGTTTTTAAGCATTTTCTGTTCAGAATATGTTGAATTTCATAAAAGAAGTATTTTGATATTTAGTTTTATGCCTTTACTGCCATTTATTATTTAGAACAGGGGTTTCCAACTTACATAAGGCCAAGGGCCGCAATTAAAAATACCAGTCAAGAGGCGGGCCGCAACTTCATAAAAATTTTGTATAGGACTCTTTTATTACTGTCAGACTTTTATCAAGTTGTACAAAACAAAAGTATTGAATTACGAATTCAAATAAGAAGTACATTTTTAAAGATATTTAATTGCATATTAAAAAATTGGGGCTACAATAACTTTAATGTGCACCTATGTATTAAACAATTAATGTGCAACAGACATCAAATTGTCAAAATATAAAACTTAAAAGTATTTAAAACCCACATAGATGTATTACGAAAATTGTCCACAAAAAATGACAACTAATATATTTTAGTTCGTGAGCCACAAAAAAGGGCTTCGCGGGCCGCCATTTGGTAACCACTGATTTAGAATATGAAAACATGATATTTATAAAAATGAAATTTAGGTTCTTGTTAGTTTTGACGCAGATTTTCAACAAGGGACTTAATCCATGCTTTAACCGTCAGATAATAACATTTCTTATAAGAACATTTCTTAAATGTTCACTAAGTTTCCCAAAAAGAAAGCATACATTCTCATAATCATCTAAAAATTTCTTACGACCCATTTTTAAGATCTCGATAACGCATAACTGTGACGCAGAAAGATTAGATTTACAAAGTTTCGATCAAAATAGGGAAGCG